AGGACGGGCGAGGGGCCGGAGCCGCGGGCCAGGAAAGGCTCCGAGCTGCCACAGCCAGCCCACAATTTCCATCCCCCCTGATCTGGGGAAAGAACATTTGATGCCATCAAAGGGCTCCAGATTGAAAACAGATGTGCTTCCCCGAGCCTCTCCATGCATTTAATTAAGGCGCAGGCATGGAGGAGACATTTTCATCATTAGTTTGCTTTCAGCCCCCCCCCCCCATCCCAGTTTACCCTTTGCAGTCTCAAAGACCCAAAAGAGCAGGGCAGGGCTGCAGAACTCCGCTGTTCCCTGTTCGGGGGGTAGACAAAACTGATGGGTACTGGGTGGAAAGGCCAAAAAAAACCCCAACTTTGGGACAAGTCGTGCGTGTGCACAGGAGAGTGTGGGTGTACGAGCACCCAAAATGCTGTGGGTGCATCTCTGTATGCAGCACAGAGTGACTTTTTCTGCATCTGAGGGAGGATTTGCTTGCTGTCCTGTGGTGTGTGTTCACATGTTGGATGGGGAGGGAGTTGTGCCTTCACATGGGTGTGCAAGGCTGCGTCTGACTGGTTTTTGCATGCTGGCATCTTGTACCCTGGCTCTCTGGGTTCAGGCAAGGCAGGGTGGGTGGTCACCTGTACACACCCTGATCATGAAATGCCCTTTTCTCTGCCTTTCCCAAATACCTGGCTGCTGCCTCCTTTCTTGGTGAGCTGGGCTTTACCCTCTTTTTCCCCTGATCTGCTTCAGGTGGGTGTTGCAGCTGGCTTTCCTGAGTGGGTGCTGCAGAGACCCAGCCACAAGCATCCCTTTCCACGGGCACTGGGGTCTGCTCTCAGCCTTGGGGGTGTCAGCAGGAGCCACAGAAACCAGACCAAGAGGTCTCTGTGCCACCTTCAGCAGTGGCATCACTGACATCCCTGATGAGATCTCCCCATGTCTAAGTGCATCCTTCAGACAATGCTCCTGGCTTTGGGAATACAGTCTGAATTTCCCCTGGGAAGAGGAAGAGCCCAGCTCCAAGACTGAAGCTTAATTCCAATATAAGGTGCCTGATTCACATTCTGAACGTGACCTGAGGCCCTCCTTTCCCAGGTGCCTCCTGCAACACCACTGCATTTCTGTCACTGGGTGGGATGGACGAGCTAAATCCAGTGGGAACTCTGACAACTCTGTCCCAGAAGGGAGACTGGGAGCAGTGGGCAGCCTTCAAAACTGCACAGAGCTGCAGTTCATCTCTCAATTATCTCTGTTATTATTACCCTTTTAACATTCCACAGGCCATCAAGAAGTTGATCAGACATTTATTTCCTGCCTCACCATTGCTCTGCTGTCAAGCTGCACAGGTAACTCCCTTTCCTGCTCATCTTCCCATCCCACTTTTCCTCTCCAGCCCCATTGCTCCCTTTCCCAGCTGTCCAGAAAATGCTTGTCTTCTGCTCACACTCCAAGCAGGGCAGGAGCTTCTGAGCTGCTTCTAACAAGGGTGAAGAAGAAAAAGCCCAAAAGTCCTGAAACAACCAGAAGTCTGCCAGGTAAAGCACCCACAGCTGAAAGGGTCAGCCTCACACCACAGCCAGGCCTCAGTTTAGCCCTTCCTGCTCCCAAAAGTAGTTGTCATTTTGAAGGACATCAGTGAGACTCACCAGCTGGAGCCTTGCCTCAAAACCTACCTCCTCTATGCTGTGATAATGTTCAAGTCTGGGAGAAAGTGAAGCAGAAACCACAAACTCCCCCATTTTCCTTTCCCTAGCTGCATTTCAAGAAGGGGAAACCCAAATATCTGCATCTCTGCAGATGACCAGCACATTTTGCTTCTGCTTTCTTTTCTCATGGAAAATCACAAGCACCCCAAAATGCCAGTGAGAAAGTCCCTAGCTGGAGTGTATTTTTGATTCTTGATGTTTCCCATGAAGTCCAGCACCAGCTGCTCCTGTGGTTCCCAGCTCCAAAATGTGGGCTGCCCAAATATAAACCCTCAGAAACAGGACCTGATGAGCCTCTCAAGGATCTTGGAACCAACAAGAAACACCCAGAGCAGATGAGCAGCTGTAAAATCCCCGTGGCAGCTCAAACACCTTGGGGTTGGCATTGGTGGCTGCAGGAAGGTGCAAAGCACTGAGAAAGACAAACCTTCTTCACTCACCATCAACACCACATTTTGTAGCATAGATTGCCCCCTTCTTTCAGGTGCTCTAAATAGCTTTTCTTCCACCTGGGTTTAAATAAAAGAAACCAGGCAGAAGAACCTGTGATACTCAGGTGTGTGCACGGCCCTCAGGTGAAGAAGTGTTTTGCTCAGTGAGGGAAAGTCCTTTGGGTCTCTCCTAATTAATTTTCAGTGTGTAAAGTCTTAGAGCCGTTTTTTGATCTGCCAAATGTGTTTCATCCTAGAAATAAAGAAAAAAATAAATAATAATGCAGGGAGGAAGTGAGGAGCAGGAGCTGACAGCTAGAACAAGTGCCTGTGCCTGTAGGAAACCTGACCAAAATGCACACACCATCTATTTCTGCTCCATGAAGACATGCTGAATGCCCTCCAGCTTTGCTCTCCTGAGTGCCTGGATGGGCTACAAGCAGTTTAGATTGGTGATTCAGAGGGCAGGAGGGCACAAATGATGTTTACTCCTCTCCTAGGTCCGTGGCAGCTTTGGAGAGGGATTGATCCAACACAGCCCTTCACCCAAAACAGCCACAGCTCCTTAGGGGAGAGCTGATGAGAGATGTTGATTCAGAACATCTCTCTGCCTCTTCTCAGCCTGCATCCTCAATGTCCCATGCCCAGCCCAGTGATATCCCCACTGCTGACTCCTTGATGCTGCAGTGCTGTGGAGCCAAACCAGAATTCTTCCACCCCAAAAAGTTTTCCTCCAGTCATCCTATCATGCTGGTTTGCTTTTGTGCCTGGCCTCAAGCCCTTCTGCACTTGCTGCAGGCAGAGCTGGGTAAGATCTGCGTGGAGCTGGAGACAGGGAGCACCTGCAGGATCTCACATCCCTGTACAGGTGTGGGGGAGATTTTGGGGGTGTGTGCAGGTATCGGGGTCTGGAGCCAGACCTGTCCCTCACGAACTCCTACACACTTGGACCAAAGCCCCCTTTTTTCTCTCCTCCCCACACAGAGGTGCATTATTACATCTGTGGGGATCAGGTAGTCTACAGTCCTTCCAAGCTGTAAACTCAGCATCAGGGTTTCTTTTAATCCCAAACATCTTGATGTCATCTGGAAATGCCACGAGCAGTTTATAATTAGGGTTTAGCATGCAGATTAATACCAGCAGCTCCAGGGTGAACAGACCATCAGAGTCTAATCAAAGCTTAAATGGGACAGCAATTTAGTACTGAGATTTATTATTCCTCTGCACAATATTTTGAACCAGAGGCTGAGTTCACGTCACACACAATCATTCCTGGAAGTGCTAGCACATCTCCAGTCAGAGCAAGGTGCCTTGTTACTTGTTCATGGGGGTGATAAATACTTGGCTCTGGGAACTTCTTCAGGAATATTGCAGCATTGACACTGTACAAGATTTAGAACCTGGGGCAGGAGAACACTTGCACACATGCTCCAGCCTCATGTGCATGGTGGGGCAAGGCCATGCACTTACATTTTATTTTTTTTTTGCTGTGCACCAGGTGTAATAAGGGAGGTTTCCCAGGATAGCAGCTGAGGGGTTTATTTCTGCCACCTCCCCTGGCCACGTGTTGGGGAGGAAGGATGGAAAGCTTTGTGTTACCCAAGGTGGGGATGAAGCCACCTCGCAGCAGCAGAACTTTCATGGGGAACTGGCACTGTGTGGAAGGCTCAGCTAGGGGCTGGGGAGGGAGTTCTGTGCCCAGTGCAGCCAGGGACAGCTCCTCCTGAATGGTATTTCTGCCAAGCCCCATCTGGATGGCCCCTGGGAGTACCCCCAAGTCTCAGAGGTTTGATTTTCACAGTAGGGCACAGCTGGGTTGGCTGTGCAGCACCTGGGTTGGAGTTTTCACTAACAGGGCTCCAACCTGCCTTGCCCAGACCTCCTCTGACCCAGTCTGAGCTGGAGCTTTCCCCTTGCCTTGTCATTTATGAAACACAAGAGGGAGGAGGGGGCTGAGAGGGTGGAAATCAATTTATCAGTTTGTCTGCACTAGTCCCAGTTTTTAGATTCCATGTCACAGCTCCCACAGCTGTCACCTAGCTTTCAGCAGAGATGACAGGCACATTCACCAGCTGCCAATGGCAAGAGCTGCTTTTCTGTTTCCTTTTTCCATCATCTCCACCAAATGGGAGAGGGGCTGTGAGGAATATCCTGATCTCTTGCTGGTTGTGGATCTGCACTAGAGTTCAGCTCTTCCCTGCCTTGGCTTTGCTCCTGTCAGGGCTGCCATGGGGCTGGCAGGAGCAGATGTCACACACTGTGGCCTCTCAAGACAATCCTTAGCTGTGGGTTCCACCAGGAAAGCACAGAAGTATCAGCACAAACACCTCCTCACCACAGTTTTGTTGCAGTGGTCGTGTCCTGCAGGTGGATGATGCCTGTGCTCATTGCTCTGAGCCTGCTCCAGCACCTTGGATTTGGTGCTGGAGCAGTGGATTTGGATTCAGTGGATTTACCAGAAGAGGAAACCGGTAAGAATTTAATTTACCTGGTAAGAAACCAGGCTGTGGCACTTTCAGGTTGCCAGTTCCCCTATGACAGCAACCTGGTGGCACTGAGAGAGCCACCAGGACATCCAGGCACTCCCCCCTGCCCCAGGGCAGCTGAGCAGGGCTGGCCAAGCTAAATGAGGGCTAAGCTGCTGTTCCCAAGGGCTCAGACTCGAGCTGGCTCCAGAGCTGCCTAAGGAGCCGTGGGTTTGGATAAGCCAGCCGTTTAACCGGGCTTTTATTACCAGGCAGGGTAACAAAAGCACTCAGAGGTCACCCGGGAACTTTAATCAGCACCGAGGGTCATTGGATAGCAGGATAGGAGGGAGGAGGGCACGGCCCAGGGCACGCAAATAAATAAATAGATGTATTGAAACCACCTCCTTCCTCCAAGTGATTTCTCTCTCTTTCCCTTTCTCCGTGTACACACTCTGCTCCTTACAATCAGACCTTCAAATGGCCCTAATTTCCCCAGCAGAAAGTCCAAGATCTCCTGCAAATTTAACTAAGGAGTTTATCCACAAGGTTTGGTTGAGTTTTTTATTTTAAATCCCTTGCTGCTGGAGATGAAAGTTCAGTCTGCTGGACTGCTCTTGGGCTGGGTATCAGATATCCCTAACCCCAGAGAGAGAAAAAATGTCCCACCAGCTTCTCTCCCCTGCAGGAAAGGGGAAAAAAAAAAAAAAATCCCCACCACCTCCCATAATCAGAGTCTGGGCAGACAAATTGGCACCACTCTTTTCTCCCTCCACCCCCACTCCTTTCTGGAAGAGGACTAACCCTTCAGAGCACAGTCACAACTCACAAATATTTGTGGGTATTATATTGCAAGAGGGAAAAAAAAAAAAATCCAAAGGAAGGTAACTGTTAAAAGCTTAGTCCCTCTCCCATGGAAAGCAGCTTTATGCACGTCCATAAATCTCCTTTGTAAGTGGCCATTAAAACTGCGTCTTGTTTAATTTTTTTTTTTAAAATCTCATTTAAACACTTTTTCTCATCTTGCAAACGAATGATGTCATTGGCAGGCCCAGTAATGAACTGAAAAAAAAAAAATAAAATCAACTTTCTAATGTTTTGGGGGCTCTCTCTAAACGCAAACCCTTCAAAACCAGTTTGCTAATCCAGCCAAATACTTAAGCACGTGCTTAACAACCAACTTGTGTTTAAGTGCCTTGCTCCCACATCTGTCCACACTCATCTCTGTGCACAAATGATGGGCCTGAAGGGAGGAGAGAGTCTAAACTGTGGCAGGGTGAGAGTTCCTGGCTGCTGAACTCTTGGGCTGCTCCTTGCACGGGCGACACAACAGGACAGAGACCCCACAGCAGCTGCACAGGACAAGATCCTCACTTTGGCTGAAAAGGCTCCTTCCTTGCTGGCTACTTCTGTTGTTTGGGTTTGGTGTGTGGCTGGAGGTTTTAGGTTTATTTTTATTTTTATTTTTAATTTTTTTTGGAAGCCGTTTTAACGAAGTGGGAGCAAAACCAATCAGCAGGCTGAGCAAACGGGGGAAAAAATAAATGCAAAAGTTGCAAACGAATAATTGGTGTGGTTTTAATTAAAAAGTGGTTAACTGTTTCGGGGTGAAGAGCATGGGTTTGGGTTGACACCATCTGAACCCTGGAAAGAGCATGTTAAGCTGTTCACCATACTGTGGGTTAAGAAAATGGGAAATAAATACATCCCAGCCCCTTGGAAAACTAAACCATCTTTAGGGCTCAGCTGTAAACTTTCTTCAGCAATTTATTAGAGTTCCAGAAAACACTTGTTGAGTAGCCTTGGCCTGTAATAAATATCAGTCCTTGTTTGTTTGTTTTTGTAATGGGAACAAAACCACATCTTTTTCTTTCTCAAGTGGATAATTTAATTACATGGCAAGAAACACATTCATTGTCCAAAATACCCGGAGAAGATTGCCACGAAACTCAGCAGTTCAGTGGTGAGAGGAGGAGAGCAGAGCCAGCTGATACCAGAACTGGCTTCAGGGAAGGTTTGTGATGGCACATTTTGCTGGAGCTGACCCTGGGGTTGTCATTGCAAACAGGAGACAGGCACCTCTGTGCAAGGCACTTCTTACCCCACACAGAGCACCAGAAGGGAAAGGCAGAGGGAACCAAAGGCAATGAGGGACAGGGAAGGGACCTGTCTGGGCCACACAGAGGGTGTGAGGTGGCAGTGGGGGTGAACTGATCCATCTGTTCTCATGCACTCCCTCAAGCCTAGCTCTGGTCTGAAAATATCAATGTTTTCTTCTAGAACATTTCTTGCTCTGCTTGTTGTCACCCCTTCCGTGGGGACTTGTCCTGGCCTCGGTGGTAGGAGGCAGAAAGTGATCCCAAGAACATCTGGAGGTGACACCCTGTGAGAACAGGGGAGTGCTTGGGAGCACCCAGCCCCTTCTGTGCCCCCATTCCTTGGGGAATGCCTGCCTTGCAGAAAGAGAAGCAGGAGTCCTTTAAGATCAATTAATTAAGATCAATTCTTGATGGGCTTGGTTCACTCGCTTCATTCATTCCCTGCAGGCAGCTTCAGGTTTTTCAGAAAAGACTTTTCTTTTTCAAGTTTTCATTTCAGACTTTTCAGAAAAGTCTGGAATGGCTGAAGGGTGGCACTATCCAGATAAGCAATTACTCAGTGCTCTTTCCCAGGCACAGCCTGGCAATTATGGTCAGAATCCAAGAATCAGATGACTGCAGAAAGACAGACCCTCACTCCTCTGAGCTCGTCTTGAGGGACACAATTAAGGTGCTGATGTGATGAAAGCCACATTCAGCTCTGGGATACGAGAGCCAGATGCACCCAGATGACTCCTCCAAAGGTGCTGCTTACCTGATTTGTAGCAAATCAAGTAGAAATCAGCCATTCCTGTCCACACAGCTCCATCGTGCTGTTAAACAGCCAAACCCTCTTCTCTTACATGTCTTTGAGAGAGATGAAATCCATATGGCCCAGAGAGAGAGCACAGGCCAGGGATGGAAGGAAGGACAGAAACACCATTTCTTCAGGACAGAAGACAATGGAAATGTTTCCACTGATTCCAATGGGTTCTGAGTCAGCGGCTGCAACCAATTTTCCTCCTAAATGGACTTCCATATGTCTAAAAGAGTCTCACAAGTGCTGGAATTTGTTACAGAACAAACCTGTACTTTATTACTCTGCTCCCTGATTCCCAGCCTTTCTCCCTTGAAATTCCTTGGTCAGCCATTTCTGGGCTTTGGGGTTCTCTTCTGAGAAATGCATTCATTTCTAAAACAAATGTTTTCCATGGAACAGGCAGAGTGAAATCTCCCCACTCTGCTCCCAGATTTCACTTTGCTTTGCTGGGAACTTGTGCCTTCAGATTCACCAGAAAATAGGAGGTTCTCTGTGCAGAGGGAAACTCATCAGACCTGGAATCTTCTATACCTTACAGATTGCCCCTGAAATAAAGGTATTTGGGCAAAAGTTTACCAGAAATTTTCCATTTGCCATGTCTCTTAAAACAGAAGATGTTTTGCCCTCTTTGCGGCAGGAATCGCTCACGATTTTTCTGTTTCCTTCTTTCATTAAATTGAAACAAAAATTGGCAAAATGGACTTTTTCCTATTCATCACTGTTGTTTTTTTATGGAAAGAGAGTCACTTTCCTGCCCATGATTCCATTCACTACATTTAAAGGGATTTAGGAACCATTGTACCGTTTTCAGTGGTGGTTTAGGGACACTTGCATGCCCTGCTTCATATCTGTATTTGAGTGCTATCAGTGAAAATTAAGCAGTTAAATGCCTTTTATCTCATCCTGAGGTGAAAGACAGACTTTCTACAATGTCTTGAAAATATGGCTCAAGTTTGATTAAGTTCCTTAAACTGAATATCATTTTCTAACTTACTGCTAATGCTACACTGAAATGGCCACAAACATTATAGTTTTCAAATTCATCTATTTAAGCAAAAATATTTTCTATTTCCTTGCAAGAACAAAAACACAGGAAGAAATTTTCAAATCAACTCTCCCAAGGAATGTCCCTAAGGCCCCATTTAATTCAGAATTTTAAGAAGTTTCTCGGTTTTCCCAAGTTTTTTTTTAGTTCATGTTAACGTTAGTTTAAGGGTGTTGGTTCAAAATGAAATCTCCAAACTTTTCATTAGAAAACAAGGCCAAAACACTTGGATTTCTTCTTCTTCCTTTGCCAAAACAG